TTGTACCGTGCGCCGAGGGTGCTCCACCTCGACGGGTGCTGCTTGCAGGAGTTGCAGGTATTCCAGGCGACGCGTTCGCCACGGGCTTCATGAAGCTCATGTTGTTGCGGCCGCTCGACGAGATGGTCGCGCGGTTTGGGGCCGCCGCGCCAGCGATCGTGGTCGACGTCCCAGCGCTGGGGCGGCGCCAAGCGTGTTCAGGGCGATCTCGTGGGCGCTACCCGTCTATTGGTGCAGCAGCTGAAGAATGTCAAGCTCAAGGTCGCGGTCAAGCGGTCTACGGTCTTGGGCAACTCACCAGGCTTGCGCGGCCACATGTCGAGGCGCCTGCTCAATATTGCAGGGGTCCACGGGGCTCGTCACGCGCGCAACCTGGGCATTGATCATGCAGATGGGGCGGCGTGCAGCTCGGGCTCTTGGGCAGCGACGCCTCGCCAACGTCGAACTTCGCCTGGGCAAAGTGCAGGGTTTCTTGGGCCTGAGGCGGGGCCGCACTGCTGCGGCCAAGGTTGCGTTCGCAGGCCTCCACCCTTCGGCGATGTGCGGCGTCAGCTGCACTGGCCTCAACTCTTGTCCAGGATGCGCTCCATCACGGTCAGAGCCGTGGAACCACGGCCAGCAGGCACGAATGCCACCGCAGTGTTGATGCTCTCGGGGGCCAAGACTTTGGACCCCGTCTTCGCTGCCACGCTGGGGCCTGTCATGATGCTGGCCGAGGCTGTATGGGAGAAGTGGATGCCGACGACCATTTTGCAGTCCACGTTCGAGTGGAACGTGGGCGCCAAGCGCCGGGGCGACGTGCCCGGGCCGCTCGGAGCAGCAGTGATGGCCTTGCAGAGGATCGGGTTCACGCTCAGCTCCTTCACTGATTGGGTCGCCGACGCGGGCGAGAAGCTCAACTTGGAAGTTCGCTCTCCCTGGGCGGTCAAGCAAATTTCCACGCGAGGCGTCGAGCGGTGGCAGTTGGCCCAGCTGGCCAAGAGCACGCGCTACGACATCTACGGTGCTGGCGGCTTCTCCCTGCCGCAGGTCAGGCGGTGGGTCGCGTCGGGCCGAGGCTTCGCCGAGGTCGCTGAGGCTTGGAGGACGTCGACGCCCAGTGCAGTTGGGTATGCCAGATGCCTTGTCGACGGTCAGTGGCTCAACGAGCGCCGCTTTGCGGCAGGCCTCAGTTCTTGCTCGGTCTGCTCGCTGTGTCCCAGCAAGATGGGGGTGCTTTGGCATAGGCGCATGGAGCGTCAAGACGCTTGGCCGTCTTTGAACCTTCCAGAGGAGCTGGAGCGTTTCAAGGACCAGGGCGACTTCATCGCGATCAGGACTCCACTCGAGAGGCTGTGCCTGCCAGAACCGCTCACGGAGTGGAGGCCGCCAGGTGACGACTTCCTGGCGCACGTGCAGTGGATCAAGGGCTACGACGAGGGCTTGCCGTTAGCAGAGCCCGGCCTGTGCGCAGATGGGGCCTGCGCCGACGGAGGTACCAAGATCGCCTGTGCAGGTTGTGCCCTCATTGCCTTGCTCATATCGACCTTGGGCCAAGGTCTGCCACGCGCGCGCTGGCCTCCCCTTTGGCTGGCGACCTGCGGTCCATTCGGCGGCGGTGAGCTGTTGTCGCTCCTCCTGCTCTTCAAGAACACCACTCCACCAGTGACAGCTCATTTTGACGCTGATTTCGTGGTAAACTGTAACAGTATTCGTGGGCCCGAGGCCACTGCGAGCAGCAAGGCAGCCTGGGCGGAGCTGTGGGCGCGCGTCTCGGACGCTGTGCAGGACTTCGGCTATGCGAAGACGGCCTCACAGTTGCCAAGGTCACGGCGCACGCTTCTGTTCAGCACGCGCAAGAGGGCCTCGTCACGGCTAGAGCGCGCAGAGGCAACATCGAAGCATATCGGTGTGCCAAATTTATTGCTGCTCAAATCGGTGCGCTCCTGACGCCATTCGGCAGATCATCCAGGCGAGGCAGGCCATGCTCGACGCCGCGTTCTTCTGGGTTTCGATTGCTGGCGGCGTGGCTGCCGATGGCAGAGCTGGCGTCTCGGACGAGATGGTCACAAAGCAGGCCAGCACGATTCAGTTGTTTCTCACGGCTCGCGAGGTCATCGAGGTCCCGAATGGTGGCCTTCATTGTTTGCGCCGCCTCAAGACCGCGTGCAGCAGCAACATCAAAGCGCATTTCTGGGCCAAGCCGTGCGTGCCCAAGCCGCGTGCCCCGTCGCACTCTGGCAGTACTTCGAGGAAGCGACCTGCCCGAGCAGCCTCGACGACGGCGGTCGCGGCGGCGGCGGCCTCCGCCGCGTTGGCGCAGGCCGAGGTGGAGGCGACAGATGCTGAGGCCGCTGGCGACGGCAGCATGGAGTTGCCGAAGGCCAAGGATCTCAAAACAGCCCAGCAGAAGATCGACTACCTGTTGTCGGCAGCCTCTGGAGCAAGCTCGAGCGGGTCTGTGCGCTCAGCATCGGCTGGAAAAGTTGTCGCCAGTGTGGGCGAGGCTCCTGTAGGCCCCGCTGCAGAAGCCCCTGTTGGACCTTGCACGCGCGCTCCCGAGGGCCCCGCTGCAGAAACCCCGCGTGGCCTGGATGCGGCTGGCGGCGTGAGCGTTGTGGATGGACCTGCCTCGCTTCTCGCCTCGGGGCTCCTCGGGTCTCCTCCTAGCCTCGCTGCAGAAGCCCTCGGGGGAGCCCGCATCGGGGCGAGTGCGCCAACCGATTTGTCCAGTTTCAGCGGTGCGGCCAGCAGCCTGGTCGCCTCGCAAGTTTGTGGTGTTTCGTCTCGCCGCTCGGGCTCGCGTCTCGGTCGGGGGCCCTTGTTGCCCCTCTGGCCCCCTCGCTTCGTCGTCGTCCGCAGGTGATGGCACAGGGGTTCCAGGAGTGGCGAGTGGCAAGCATGTCCCCCCGACCATCTTTGGATATCGCATTTGCACGCGCTGTCATTGCCATGCGAGAGTGATTGGAGGCAAGCACAGAGGCTTGTCCGCAGAATGCAAGCCACCAGGGTGCGCTCGTGGTTTGCAGCACCGCCTCGAGAAGGTCGAAAGGATCAGGCTCGGGTTGCCGCTGAAGGAGGTGCAGCCAATGGCGAAGGCTCGGTGTTGATGGGGTCCTGGCCTGGCGGCGGCGTGTCGGCCCTTTTGGCTCGCTCGTCCCTTTGCCGCTCGGCTCCCCTAGGCTTTCGCCTGCCGCCAGCCGCGGCCGCCTGCTGTGCGGCTGCTAGAACCTGAGCTCGTGCCGCGCGGGCCTGGTTACAGTTAGAAAAAAAAGGCCCCAGCGGCGGGGCTCGCGTGGCGCCCCCGCCCCCAATTCGGCACACCCCTCACGGGCCGCGTGGCCCCATAGAGAGCTCCACCGGAGGCCCCAGCGGCAGGGTTCGCGTGGCGCCCCCGCCCGTTGTTCGTCACACCCCTCACGCGCCGCGTGGCCCCGTAGAGAGCTCCACCGAAAGCCCCAGTGGCAGGGCTCGCGTGGCGCGCCCGCCCCCCAATTCGGCACGCCCTTCGCACGTTTCAAGTGGCCCTGTGGTGAGCTCCGCCGAAGGCCCCAGCGGCAGGGCTCGCATGGCACGCCCGCCCCCACCAGCGCTGACAGCGCCTCCCCGGTGCCGGCCCTCACCCTGCGCCCCGGGCCCCGGGTGCGCCGGGAGTGGGCCGGCACGATCTGGCGCCTCCGCTTCGAAGAATGGGGCCGCCCAGGCCCCCCCCCCAAGGCCCGGCCGGGGCTTCCATGGGCCTCCCGGGCCAGGAGCCGCCAGGCGGCCGAATACGGGAAAGGAAGAGAGGGCGGGCCAGCCTCACGTCGGGCCTGTCCCGGTGCAGTAGGAATTTTCAAAAGTATATGAAAAATAGTTTGGGGACGTTTTTCTGATTTTGACAATCTTAGAATATTGAAAACATATGTTGCATTTTTCGTCCGCAATCCGCCTGTGGGGGGACATGCCCGACCTGAGGCCAGCCGAGCGGAGAAAGGAAAAAGGGGAGCGGGGGGCAGCAACAAGCGGAGAGCAGGGCAGGCGGGAACCAGGAGGAGGGGATCGGCAGCGCAAGCGAGAGGGCCGGGGCACCTCTTGCCCGAGGACCCGCGGTGCATTTTGGCAGCTATGGCACGCCGATGGGTCCCTCACGGCGGCGCGCCACGGACGTAATTCTTGTAGTTGTGCCCCCGCCGATGCCCGCCCGCGCCCGGGCTTCGGACGTGCGTCGAGCAGGGCGGCGAGCGACAGCGGCGCCTCGCCACCCCGAGGGCCCTTCCCGCTCGTCGGCGGCGGCGGTGCCAGGATCGCTCTGCCCTCCTCCTGCAACTCTGGGCCCGGAGCAGTCGCGCGGTGGCCCTCACACAACGACCTGGCTAATAGGGAAAGCATCATGCTGTTGCGTCGAGGGTCTCCATCAGTTTGTTCTCTCGGCGCTGTGCTTCTGTTCGTGCCGTTGGACCTCAGGGGAGGTGTCCGGGAAGTTTCTGTGTACCGTGGCCAGGCAGTTGAACGCCAGCTTCCAGCTGCGCGTGCGGGGCCGTGTTTTCTGGTGACCGGCGGTTCTGTTATTTTGATGCTCTCGGAGTCGTTCTCATTTTTCGGAGGGGCTCGGTCTATACACAACGCCGCGTCGCTTGGTCGGCCCAGAATCCAATCATTTCAGCGAAGGAGCTCGACCTTCTCACAGCTTGGGTGTCTATATAGCAAGCTCCGTGGCCGACCAACTGGCGCGGTGCATGCATCGAGCCCCGCCGAGTCGCTGTTGTCGTCGTCGTCGCCGTAAATCGTTCTTGGCATCTGGGGCTTCCGCGGGCGCCCTCGCCGCCACGGCTGGACGCAGCTCGGACACATGGCCAGGGTGGTGTCTGTCGGCGGCGAGCGAGGGGGGAAGCGAGAAGGAGAAGGCCTCCTCAGAAGGCGGCGGGGCTTCCCAGAAGGCCCGCCCGATTCCCCCGCTTCCCCCCTTCGCCCGCCGCCGAGTCTGGGAGGGGCCCCGGGGCCAATGGGCGAAAGCTGCTGCTGTCGAGTGGTTCTCGGAGGTGTACGACTCGCTGACCAACGAGTGGTCGCCCATTGCAGACATGCCCACGCGGCGGCACGGGGCGTCCGCCTGCCTGCTGGGGGCACGGGTGTACGTGCTGGGGGGTGCTTATGTCGACGAAAGAGACGCCGACGAGGGCGCCAAATTCTGCGACGTCTTGGACACAGAGACGATGGAGTGGTCTTCAATCCCTCCGTCGCACTACTCTCACGTCGTGCCCCTGTCTATTTTCCAGCGAGGCGCTGCCTTCTTCGGGTCCAGCGCGATCGGCGGTCGCCTCGTGGTCCTCCTGGAGAACGTTACCCTAGCATACAACCCCTCCACCGACGACGGTTGGCGCAGGGTCGAAGCCGAGGGCAGCGTTGCAGTTGGGCATTCCTCGTGCGCCTGCGCGTATGAGGGCGAGTTGCTTGTGGCCTCTGGCAGGCCCGAGAGATTTTCGAGGAGTGTCGCGGCGTTTTCGTTCACGAAGCCGGCCTGCGACAAGGACTGGTGGTGCGGACGATGGAGACAGTTGCCCGACCTCAACAAGGCCAGAGTAGGTGGTGCTATGGCCGTGGTGCACGGCAGGCTTTACATCACAGGAGGTGTCGACGAGGATACTGGCGTGTTTTGCGACTGTGCCGAGAGGCTCGAGAAAGATCGGTGGGCGCCAGTGCCGTGGTTCAGGATGCCACGCGCGTTGCATGCGCACAATTCGTTCGCTCTGCCGCACCTCGAGCTGTGACGCGGCCGGCCGTGTCCCCGTCTCTCTCCGATGCTCTGCTGCGGTAGGGCGCCCCTACTCTTGCCTCCGAGTCGCCGTGCCTGGGGCAACCAAAAGGTACCGATACCGCTACTCCCCGTACCTCTCCCGGGGTGCGTTCTGACCGGGATTTCCAGGCGAATCCAGTGGTGGTGACGAGGGCTGCCCAGGAAGCCCAAAAGGGGGAACACGAGCGAAGGGTGAAGGTACGGGTACCTTTTCCTCCTCCGAGAGTCGCCGTGCTTCTCCTATCCGCTCGCTCTTCCCCAGGTTAGCTACATTCTGAGTTCGATAGAAGCTAGCCCCGCCCTGCCAAAGCGATCAGCGGAATGGCTCTTTGTTCCGGCTCTCTCGAGAGGGCCTGGCGGCTGCGCTTTTTTTTTGGGGGGGGGTCGGCGCCCGCCACGGCTGCACTTTTCTCTGGGGTCCGAGGCCCGAAAACCATCACTAATTTTGGGCCCCAGGGCCCACTGAGGCCCCAGGGACCCCAGATTAGTGAAGTGATGTTTTTTCCCACGTCAGGACCCCGAAATTCATCACTTCACTAAACCGAACCCAGGACGAAAGTCAGGGGCCGAATTGCTGCTGTGATGCCACGTCAGCCTCGTATGGGGGGGGGTCTGCGCCCGCCAGCTCTGGCCCCAGGTCTTTTTCCACTGGAGGCTGCTCTGTTGCAGGGCGGCCCCACTGCCGCTGCCGGCCGCACGGGCCCCCTCGACCGTGAACCCTTCCGCGTCTGCGTTCAAGCAGCGGCGAGGCGTCTTGGCTCGCCTATAGCCCTACCAAACACTGTTCTAAGAACTTTTTGTGGTCTCCACAACATGTTCATAGAAGATGTCTGGCGAAGAGTCTGCCTCGTTTCAGCACGTCGGGCTCATGTTCTAAGCACGCTGCTTTTGCTCTTGGAACATTTTTGGGGGGTTCTAAGAACACTTCGTGGTGTGACTATAGGAACGCTGGGACGGTCGGTCCCTGCTCAATGAGTGCCCCCCCCCCCCCCGTCCTCCGCGGCCGCCTCGGCCCCCTCTTGGTCCACCTCTCGTCGCACGCCGGCCAATCTGCGCATCGCTCGCCCCGCATCGCCGCCCGCTGGTGCAGCCTCTCGGCCTCGCCGCGGACGCAAGAAGGCATGTTCTCAGAGCCCCGAATCATCAGGGGTAACTCGGGTCAGGGCTAACTCGGGTTCGCTTTTCGGGAATCCGAACCCGAGTTACCCCGGGCCCGAGTTACCCCGGATAACTCGGGCGTCCAGAACCCCAAATCATCAGGAATAATTTGGGTCAGGGCTAACTCGGGGTCGTTTTGCGGGAATCCAAACCCGAGTTACCCCGGACTCGAGTTACCCCGGATAATTCGGGCGCCCTATAAGAGGACAT